TGTGTGTGTGTGTGTGTGTGTGTGTGTGTGTGTGTATAGATAGGTAGATATTTAATTATCTATTGCTATATAACAAACTGTACCAAATTTAGTGCTCTGAAACAGAGTCATTTGTTACCAGCAGTTTCTGTGGGTCAGGGCCTAAAGCACAGCTTAGCTAAATTCCCTGCCTTCAGATCTTTTACTAGATATAATCAAGAAACCAGTCACGGGTGTAGTTTTAGATGAAGGATTTATTGAGAAAGGATCAGCTTTCACGTGAACTCACATGGCTAACAGGCTGATTCACTTTCTTCAGAGCTGTTGGCCAGAGATCACTTTCAGATCATTGACACATGGGATATTATTTAGGGTAGCTTACAACATGGTAACTTGCTTCATTGAAAAAAAGAAAAAAAGCAGGCAGGAAAAGTCAGAGGAAAAGTGTACTAGTCAAAGATATATTACAGTCTTTTATAACCTAATGTGGAAAGTGACACCCCCAAGATTGTTGGTGTATTCCATTCTTTGATTTTTAAACTTTTTTTTTTGAGAGATTTTTTGTTATAGGGTGCTTAAACTCGCCAGAGATACAGAGAGAGACAGAGAGACAGAAAGCTAGACATTACCTCCCCCACCCCAGGGGAGATAGTCATGCCATAATCCCCTTTTCCCTCAGTCTCCTCCTGGGATTTTGGGTACGTGTACACATATACCATGGGGTCTAGGATTCTAACCATGGTTGACTACATGGGAGTCCAGTGACATAACCATTTCATCATCTGGTCCTGGTGCATTCCATTCTTAAGAAATAAATCAGTAGACCTCTTGTAAATATTAATAGAAGGTACTGTACATGGCATGCATACCAAGATGGGAGGGTCATCCAGAGCCATGGCAGAAGTTCCCTACCTTACCATCAGTACCAGCAGTACAGAGGTGTTGACACCAGCAGTACAGAGGTGTTGACACAATCGTGTGTGCTATGCCAAACTACTTGAGTGTGCCTAAGTTGACACACCAGTTCAATTATAACCTTGGCAATATATATTTTTTTTAATTTTAGAGAGAGTTTTTTTTTTTTTTTCCGCTATAGGGTGCATGTGCTCACCAGAGAGACAGAGAGAGATAGAGAGAAAGAAAGCCAGAAATCACCCTCCACCCAGGGGGATGACCATGCTGCAATCCTTTCTCCTCTACTCTCCTCCCAGGTGTGGCGCGCCCCCGCCCATCGAGTGGCCCAAAATGGCGCTGAGAGGAAGTGCCTTGAGAGCACATGAGGCAAACAACTTTGAGGAAGTACATTACCCGGAAGGCGTGATCACAACCACCCACCAATCCCTCCGCGCCCCTCCGTGCGTGGACAGTGCATGCGACCTATCAGGACTAGTTCCGCATACGTGAACAGTGCCCTGATTGGTGGGGACTCCTATTTAAGGGGACCGGGATGGGAAGAAAGGCGGAAGCAGCTATACAATAAAGTCCTGATGAGAAGACTGTCTCCTGGTCGTTCCTGACGCGACATGATGTAATCCCACTTGTCTATTTCAGGGATTATTGACTGTGTGTTGGGGGTCTTATTTAAGAAGTGTGCACATTTCACTGTGATATCATTAGGACTAAAGAACTAAAAAGGCAAAAGTTTTATATGAACCATTTTGTTAAGCGTAGATAACATATCCTTTCCCTAAAGAAGTAAATCAAAGTAGAAATAGGAGCATGTATGGAATCTTGAGCCTCTTGATGCATTTGGTGGTGGGTTAAAGGCCTCTGGTTAGCTCTAAACTTCACAAATATTCTCAAACTGGAACCTCTCCATTGGAACTGTCAGCAATAAATGTTGACCCCGAGACCAAATGTTTCTGTTTAATTACTGGCTACCGCAATCAGAAAACACAGATAGGTCCTATTTATAAAGACAGATACTCTCAGGAAAACTGCTGCTCCTAAACCTCTAGACAGACAATCGCATTTACTCTGAACTAAAATTGTTATTCCCAGGATGGAGAAGATGTTATTGATCTTCATGATTATGTTTGCTCTTGGAATCAACTACTGGTATTGTACAGGTAAGACCCTCAACAATCCAGCCACTTCAATCTCTTAATGATTGAAACCACCTTGTATGGAGCATCACTGAGGCTCCATGTGCTTGTGTGTTCAGGGTTGCCACGGTATGCGGATCCCCTCGTGGATGAAGCCTTCAATGCCTCTGTCAAAGTAGTAAATTCCAGGATACCGAGGCCATTTCTCTATCGGCCATACAGAAGTTCACTGAAAAATGTAAGTGTCCAGGGGTGTCTTCTCGACTCCTCTTCATACTGTTATTATCTGTCAGTTTGTTGGATACACTTTAAACATTTATTCAGTTTATAATATACTAGCTAGTCAATATCTTTGTTTTCAAAAATTCATCCTCATTAACTTATGAGACTTAACATCTATATTTGAAATTTTATTTTATTTTATAAATTTGATCACTTTATATACATACATCACATAGTTTGTAAATTGAATTTACCCAACATGAAAACACTTTACACCAGTCTAGTTGAGGATACAAAACACATTATCATCAACATATAATCCATTTCTGTGTCCCATAAATGCCTTTTCTCTATATTTCCCTCTCTAATTTCTTTCCTTACACACCCCCCCTTTTCCCACCCTCTTACCACATTGTCTCCAGTATTCATAACTATTTTCAAAGTTCTATATCCTGTAATCTTTCTGTTTCCACCATAGAGTGTGTACAGTTGGTATATAGTAAGTGGAGACATACAGTGTCTCTCTTTCATAGCCTGGCTTTCTTCATTCAGAAGTAAAACTTTTATATTTGTTCCCTTTCTTTCAAATGCCGGGGTCTTATTGTTTTTTTATGGCTGAGTAGTATTCCATAGAGTATATGTTCCACAATTTTTTCAATCCACTCATCTGTTTCTGGACATTTGTGTTGGTTCTCTGTCTTAGCAATTGTGAATAATACTGCAATAAGCATAGATATGCAAATATTTTTCCAACTTAGCATTTTCCTGTTTGATTTTCAATCAATTTATTTTTCTTCAGAAATGTATTTTACAGTAGAAAATATCATAGATAATTCAGTACATTTTTCTCGAATAACCAGTGGAGTAGGTTTCAAATGTTCACAACATAAATAATGTCAAATGTTGAAGGTGGCGAATATGTTAACATTGATTTGTTTATTATACTTCATATATATGCTTTTAAAGATCATTCTATACTCTACAAATATGTGTAATGATTAGAAGTGTCATAAATTACAATAAATATGTAAAAAAAATAAATAGGCTGTTTAGTCATCTCTTCCATACTGTTTTCTGTTAAAGAATGATCTTTTTTTTTTGTCATGATGTTCTCAAAGCTACTTCTAATGACTGATTCTTCTGCTGCATTCTTCTCTCTGACCTTGTCTTCTGTTTCTCTGTGTCCTGTTTTTGTACCTGAAGTCCTCGTAGTTCTTCCTGAATTGTTCTAGTGAGAACTACTGGCTTATTGAAAATGAGCCACCTTTCATATTCAGCAGTTCTGCTCCTCATATTTACAGAAAATCAATTCTGACTTTTGAGCCAAAGACCTCTAACTTCCTCTGTCAATCTGGAAAATTCTGTTTTTGTTGGTGGTGGTGGTGTTGTAATTTTTGTTTGTTTGGTTTTTTGGTTAGCAATGGGAACCAGGAAAGAAGAATTTTCTTGGGCTTCCCTGACTACATCTGTCATAGGCAAGGAAAATGTAGAGATTTTCTTCAAAGAAAATAAGAAACAGAGGCAATAAGTCACATCCCTCCTTCCTCCTGTTTCCCAGCTGACTAAACTGATTGTTGTCATCATAATGGGGCTCATTTGGAGGTAGAAATGGACATACTCTCAAGTACATTTAGTTTAAGGTGAGCATTATAGGAGGTTCTGTGAAGTTATATACATTAGGAATGAAAAGGCTGAGCAGCTGGATTGCATAAAATTAACAACGGAGACATGGCCAGGAGTTCAGGAAGCAGCCCCTTTCTTGCAGAGGCCATGTGGCTGTGATTTCTTTTGGCCTCTTTGCTCCCTTCTTTTCTTCCTGGATGCCTCTTTACCGTCTTCTGTCTACTACTCTGCAGAGCACCCAAGTCATGACTTCCTACTCCAAGTCCCCAAATACAACATATTCATTTTAATTTCTTCAGAACCAGGCTAGATTTCTCTTTTGCAAATTCTGAAGAAATTAATTGAATTGTCCCACTTGTCTTTTCCTTAATCATTGATCATAAAGCCTATGGGGTCTTCTTTACTTAGGTATCCCTCCCAGAACAAGGCCGCCATGGCCAGAGTGGGGCTGCTTGGACTTGGACATTGTGGTATGGAGACACCATGAGATACATGTGGTCAGGTGCCAAACAAAGTTCGAAGCCCTCTGGAAGAGGCTTAGATCATAAGGAAGCCCTTTCTTTTAAAACAGCTTGTATTAACTTCCATATTGAGTTTTCATTAATATTTAAAATTGAAATCTACTTGAGGTGTTATGGAATCTATGTCCTCTTGCAAGTCTTTCAGATGAACATTTAAAATTTACTGGAAATAGATCTATTGCTCACTATAGAAGAAAGTAGTCAATTAAATGAAGACAAGAGAACTACTGATGCCGTGGGTATCTGGTCCATGCAGTAGAGCTTTCGTCAGGTGTATCCCAGCAGGGCACATGAAATATGTGTGCCATCTCAGTGTGGTCACCCAGACCTGAACCCTTGCACACATATACACCTAAAATATGATGTTCTACCAAGAAGTCTGCTAATTCTTGCCTTTCCTTGGCCATTCCCTTTATTTAGTTAGTAAATTAGTTAGTTAGTTAGTTTAAACATTCAATCACTATACATCTCTTCTCTTATAAAGTGAATTTTGCCAAAAGGAATACATTTCACACCAGGTGAGTTGAGGATACTATACACATTATCATAAACAGATAATAAACCATTTATCCCATAGGCCATTCCTTTCTTGATTTTTTCAGTTAAAGTACAAATTTATTTTCATGAAAACAAATTTCAAATCCATACATAGATTCTTTCAGTATGCATTTTCTGTGAACTTTTTGAAGACCCATCTTACTTAGATATTGAAGTCACTGGGTGAATCATGGCCCAATCTGACCATGTCCTCTAGTAACAGGAAGTGAAGACATAGACATGCACAGAGAGAATACATGTAAAGACGTGGAAAGATGGTGGCTGTCTGCCAGTGCTGCATGCTGTGCAAATACTTTATATTTTTTTAATATATATTTTATTTTGTTTTAATTTCTTTCATACATTCAAGTACTATACATCACTTAGCTTGTAAAGTGATTTTCACAACATGAAGGCACTTCACACCAATCCAGTTGAGGATCCTATACACATTATCAACAACAGATATTAATCCATTTCTGTGTCCCAAAAAAGCCTTGCCTCTCTATTTTTCTTCTTAATTTCTTTTGTTACACTATACTCCTTCTCCCACTCTCTTCTCGCACTGTATCCAATATCCACAACCATTGTCCAGGCTAATATATGATCTAATCTTTCACTGTCAACAATAGAGCACAGATAGCAATACATGTTAAGTGGAAGCATGCAATGTCCTCATAGGCTGGCTTGCTTTACTGAGCAGTAAATCTTCCATATTTGTCTACTAAAAAGCCAGGGTCTTGTTGTTTTTTAATGGCTGAGTAGCATTCCATAGAACATAACCACACTTTTTTAATCCATTCTTCTATTCATGAACATTTGGGTTGGTTCCATGTCGTAGCAGTTTTGACTAATGCCTCAATAAACATAGATGTGTAAGGACTTTTATGAGTGTTATCCTGTATTTGGGCAGATACCCAGAACTGTCATATCTTATGGTAGTTCTATAAGTAGATATTTGAAGAACTCCCACATAGTTCTTCAGTGTGGCTGACCCAATTTAACTGCCCACCAGCAGTATAGAAGTGTTCTCCCTTTACCACAGTCCTGCCAGCACTTACCATTTTCTGATTTTCAAATCTTAGTCATTCTGGAAAAGATTAAAATTACAAAAGAAATGAAAAGTTTTGGTGTGATTCTGGTGGAAAGGGAACTCTCCTACACTTTGGTGGGAATGTAAATTGGTCCAGCCAGCGTAGAGAACAATATAGAGGTTACTCAAAGACCTACAAATAGAATTACCATATGATCAAGTAATCTCACTCCTGGGTATCTACCAAAAGGACAAGGGAATGCTCAGTCATAAAAGCACTTGCACATCAATGTTTATTGCAACATTGTTCACAATTGCTAAGACATGGAACCAACCTAAATATCCAGGAACAGAGGAATGCATTGAAAACGTGTGGTACATATACTCTATGGAAAACTGTTTAGCCATAAGAAACAACAAGACCAAGGTATTTTATAAAAAATGGTCAAATATGGATGATTTATTGCTGAGTGAAGCAAATCAGGCTATGAAAGAAATTTATTGCATATCTCCACTTAATATAGGGCTTAAAAGAAGTGAAAATAGTGACATATGCTGGAGACAGTGTGGAAGAATAGTGGGAGAAGGAAAGACTATAAGGAAGAAAATCAGGGGAAAATGTAGAGAAGCAAGACATTTGTGGAACACAAAAATGGTGTATTGCATATTGATGATAATGTATATAGTATTGTCAACTGAAATAGTCTAAGATATATTTCATATTGTATAGATTCTCTTTAGAAGCTAAATGATGTATAGAGATCAAATGTTTTTTTTAAAAAATAAAAATAATAAAAAATAAAGTAAGTTACCCATTCTGACTGGGTTTAGGTGGTAATTCATTGTGGTTTTCATCAACATCTCCCTTAGGATGAGGGATATTGAACATTTTTTCATATTCTATTTGGCTACTCATATGTCTTCCTTATACAGTTGTTTGTTCAGCTCATTTTCCTATGTTTTAATTGGATTGATCATTTTTGGGGTATCTGAGAATTCTGATTATCAATCCCTTATCTGACACATAATTTACAAAAATATTCTCCCATTCTGAGGGTTGTTGATTCACATTAATTACTGTATTTTGCTTTGCGAAATTTCTTAATCTAATGTAATCCCATTTGTCTAATTTTGGAATTATTGACTGTGATTTGGGGGTCTTATTTAAGAAGTTTTTGCTACCCCAGTGTCTCCAGAGTCCTCAGTGCTTTTCATCAGGAGTTTTATAGTTCGAGATCTTATGTTTAGGTCTTTGATACACTTTGAGTTGATTTTTGTCAATGGTAAAAGATAGGGCTTCAG